CCCAGGGCCCAGGAGTGAGCAGTGCAATGCAGTGCAGTGCAGCCCAGGGCCCAGGAGTGAGCAGTGCAGAGCCAAGCCTATGCAAGTGCTGTACAGTGCAGTGTCTAGGTCTGTAAATGTAAGTGCCTGCAGTAGACACAGGACAGACGTCTCCTTCCGAGTCAAAGGGAGGAGTCTCGCTGTCAAGCAGTCAGCTTGAGACAGAGGAAGAGGAAACCTCAGCCGAGCCTGAAGCACAAACACCTCACTGCTTCACTTGCAGTGCAGAAACCACACACACACACTGGGGGTGGGGGGACTGAGCAACACGCGGGCCCTGAGAGGCCCTCCAGTGGGGCGGCTCAGCTTGCACCCCTGCAGCTCGTGAAAAGGTCCAGGAGAACAATAGTAAGTGCTGAACATCGGTGCTCTAGAGGAGATGTGGAGACAACAGGAGGGGCACCGCCTGGCCTGCTCTGCTTATCTGATGGCCGACAGAGGTTAATAGCCTGGTGCCTTCATGTCAATGACCCGAGAGGTGGGAGATAAAAACAAAAAATGGAAAAATAAACCCGCCAGAACGCGTTCAATGACTGGGTATCTAGAAGGTTTTGTCTGTGGGTTAGTCTGCCGCTGGAGCTGCAGTGCGAGTGGAAATAGGCAGGCCTGCAGCGCCCTCTGGTGGACACACTGAACAGTACCCAGCCACAGAGCCAGCATGATGAGCCCATCCAGCCCACTGAAAGGGCGCACAGCAGGAACAAGTGTAGTGGTGAGCTTGGTACCACACAAGGGGCCTTTTCAAGCACCCCTCTCAAACAGGACCCCTTAGACTAACCACAATTGCGCGGCTATTTTTGTTTATAAGGTGCGACAAGCAAGGCTTGCATCTTAATCGAACCGGAGTGCACTGTGCTTGTTTCTGGGATCCCCCCTGTCCTGCCTCTGAGGACACCCTGGTCTCCCCACTGTAAAGCCCTGTACCCCATTACCATCAGACCCTGGACACAATACAGGAGAGAGAGAGAAATACACTCAGCTAAACTACTCCATGGAACATTTCGGCTGTGGAGCCTTCTCCTCTCAACATGAACGGACCTTAACCTGTACTGTTGCAGCCTACACATGCTGAAACACCTCCGAAATACTCTGTTGCATACCCACCGGGTTTGGAGCTGCTGACGAGGTTGCAGCTACACCACACTGGTGGTGGAGGGGAGTCCCCATTACCTGTAAAGCGCTTTGAGTGGAGTGTCTAGAAAAGCGCTATATAAGTGTAAGCAATTATTATAATTATTACAATCCCACAGAAAAACCCAAACAGTCACTGGTGCCATGGAAGAAACGTTCACTCGTTTGGTTCTTACTGATGCAAACACCAGTGCTTGGAGCTTGATTAGCGTCAGTGGTGCCAGTGTCTTCAGGGCCAGTGGTGCCAGTGTCTTCAGGGCCAGTGGTGCCTATAGCATCAGTGGTGTCTACAACATTGGTGTTGCCCATTTTGTCTATAGTGTCAGTAGTGCCTATGGTGTCTGCTGCGTCAGTGGTGTCTATAGCAGCAGTGTTGCCCGTGGTGGCTATAGTGTCAGTAGTGCCTATGGTGTCTGCAGTACCAGTGGTGCCAGTGCCCGCTATAGTGTCAGTAGTGCCAGCACTTACAGGGTAGTGGTATCATAGTATCAGTGGTGCCTCAAGCATCAGTATTCCCCTTGGTATCTATAGTGTCAGTGGTGTCTATAGCAGCCATATCACCCTGCAACTCACAACTGGCAACTCACTGAAGCTAAGCAGGTGTGAGCCTGGTCAGTACCTGGATGGGAGACCTCCTGGGAAAAACTAAGGTTGCTGCTGGTAGAGGTGTTAGTGGGACCAGCAGGGGGTGCTCACCCTGTGGTCCATGTGGGTCCTAATGCCCCAGTATAGTGACAGGGACACTATACTGTAAACAGGCACCGTCCTTCGGATGAGACGTAAAACCGAGGTCCTGACTCTCTGTGGTCACTAAAAATCCCAGGGCGTTTCTCGAAAAGAGTAGGGGGTGTAACCCCGGCGTCCTGGCCAAATTCCCCATTGGCCCTTACCAATCATGGCCTCCTAATAATCCCCATCTATGAATTGGCTTCATTACTCTGCTCTCCTCCCCACTGATACCTGATGTGTGGTGAGCGTTCTGGCGCACTATGGCTGCCGTCGCATCATCCAGGTGGATGCTGCACATTGGTGGTGGTGGAGGGGAGTCCCCATTACCTGTAAAGCGCTTTGAGTGGAGTGTCCAGAAAAGCGCTATATAAGTGTAAGCAATTATTATTATTATTATTATAGCATCAGTGGAGCCAGCAGCCTACTGTGTCCGCTGCATCAGTGGTGCCTATAGTATCGGTGTTGCCAGTGGTGGCTATAGTGTCAGTAGTGCCTGTGGTGTCAACAGATCGCAGGGTCCACACTCACCCTTCTTGAACTTGTGCACCGGGATCTTCTTCAGCTGCTCCTTGGTCAGCCTGTTCCTCCTCATGCGCTTGCGGTACTGCACACAGCGCACAATCTGGGAGGGAGAGGGGTCTCTCAGATTACACTTTCCACAGGTCCTGTGGGAGGCCAGGAGAGACAGCCCAGCCCACAGGAGGACGGCACAGACGCAGCACGCAGCACGCAGCACGCAGCCCGGGCGCGGACGCAAGACTCACCATGATGACAAACATGACGAGGATGATGATGCCGACCACGCCGGTGAAGGGGATCAGGTAGTAGCTGAGGGGAAAGGAGAACTCGGGCTTGAGGAGGACGTAGGTCCTGTAGAGGAAACAGGCCACAATGAACGTGCTGACCGGGGCGCGGTTCACGAACTCGGCCAGGTCGGGGTCCAGGAAGTCCAGGAACACGGCCGTCAGGATCAGCGCGTTGGCCAGGGTCTCCAGCACGGCTTCCAGCATGGTCACTGGGCCGGAGATTTCCGCCACATCGCGCCGCGGGAGTGCGTGAGGATTGTCCCCTGTACTCGGGGAAGGCAAAAGGGCAGCTTGACGGGCCAGCGGGCTCGATGCCAGACCTGTCGCAGAAGGAGAAAGAGAGGCAACAGCACCACCCTGCTTCTGCACTGTCAAAACACACACTGCAACTTCCAGTTCGCAGGATGTTGCCGTGAGACGCATTTAGATGTTTTTTGAGTGGTCTCCATGGCAACGCCCATCAACATGCTAACTGATGTATGCTGATAGGGATGGTGGGGGGGGCAGTGACATCACAAGAAGATTTCCAATTATGTCACCCGATTGGTATCCATGGTAACATTACATCATTCGTGGCAACCAAAGAGATTGCTTTGATGCTACGTGATGGTTCACTCTTTTTTAAAATTTAGAATAGGCAGTAATTTATCAGTGTAATTTGGAATTGCCAGCTGTCAGATCACTCAACCTGGGACTCTGCACAGAGCCTGACAGGAGAGTGAGGACTGTGCACACCCTCCTCTGACACCCCTGTCAGATCACTCACCCTGGGACTCTGCACAGAGCCTGACAGGAGAGTGAGGACTGTGCACACCCTCCTCTGACACCCCCTGTCAGATCACTGGGACTCTGCACAGAGCCCAACAGGAGAGTGAGGAGAGTGCACACCCTGACAGGAGGGTGTCAGAGGAGGTCATTCACCCTGGGACGTGCAGCACTCCTGTGTCAGCGCGTCACTCGCCTGTTCTCCGGGATGATGTACTTGCGCAGTCTCTGAGCCGCGGTCTCGCTGGTGAACACAGACGGGATCTCGATCTGCCTCACAATCTCCTCTGCAGGCAAGAGGCAGACAAACAGCTGTCAGAAACCAGCTCGTCCAACAGTCGCTCCCAACATCCAGGCAGAGAATGACCCAGAGGCCTGCAGTGACGCTTGACTCTGCCGCTTCAGTCCGAAGTGCCTGGCACACACACATGTACTGCATACGTTACTACTCAAGCGCACCGTGTAAGCTACTGGAGTAATTGCTGGGATCCGTTAGCCTTTACCAAGAGGTATGTTAGGACAGAAGAAAGCTGTCTGGGTGGGGTGTTCTCCAACAGAGGAGCGGGAGGCTCGAGCCTTGAGTAGATTCAGTCATTACTGAGCTCAATACATAGAGCAATGGACAGTTGGGTCTGCCCCACAGAACAGAGACTGCTGAAGGTTTCCCAACTCTTTTTGAACAGCAGAGTCTCATGTAGTCTAAGACAATTGGTTTCAGGTTCAGGTAGGTAACATCCTCCTCTTTGAAGTTGATCAGTCTTTCTGTTGATAGCTTTGTTAGGAGCAGATCGGTTACTGTTGTTTGTACAAGTCAGTCCATATTATACTTTAACAGACACTGAGGCAGCTTGGTGACAGATACAGAGCTGTAAAATCTACATATTCCAGTAATGACATACATATTAAGGAGTCACACTATTAATACACTATGTGCTGATATGCATCCTACTTTGCAGTCTTGCTTTAACTGCTGCAACAACTAATTTCCCTCTGCAAGGTGTAAAGAGAAGATGTGATCACACAGCAAAGGACAGGACAAGGACTCACAAATATCATAAAACAGAACAAACTCTCAAAGAACAGGACAAGTACTAAAGTGTGACACAGTACCTCTTGTCTCTCAGCCTGCACTGTATGTAAGAGCTGGGAAGCTCTTGCTGGGTGTGTCCCCTGTGGGACAGACCCAGCGCAGTGCTACTGTACTAACTGAGCTCAACAAAGATGGAAATCACACAAGACTGACTCCTGCTCTTCTGATGAAGAATTCCTCACAACAGGATAAAAGTATCAAAGATAAAAAGTGATATTATTCTTGTTCTAAAACCACACTGCAGGAAACTCGCTGCAATAAGTAAGCAGGGGGGCCTTGGGTTCCTTGGAGATGAAAGAGGAGATGAGGCGTGGGTTTTAACAAGCCAGCCCTCCTCCACAGCGCCACACAGGAGAGTGAGCAGCAATTGGGGGAGCGTCACATCTCTCGCTGATGTCATCGCGGGGCAAACCCAGCCCCCATGAATTCAAAAGGGGAAACAATTGTAAAAGCAGGAGAAAGAGAGATGGAAAAACTGGGAAACAGATACTGATGGAGAAAGAAGAGAGAGACAGAAGGGAGAGAATGAAAACAGAGTTACTACCGTCACTGTAGTCCATGTTCAGTAGTATGTTTGAATTCACATTGTGAACAATAGCAGCACTGTAACCTGCTTGTTGTGCATGTAGAACCTGGAAAGAGAGAGAGGTTAATATAGACACAGTGGACACTACAGTACATTAACACTGCACTGAGAGAGAGGGGTTAATACAGACACACTGGAGACTACAGTACATTAACACTGCACTGAGAGAGAAAGAGGAGTTAATACAGACACACTGGACACTACAGTACATTAGCACTGCACTGAGAGAGAGAGGGGTTAATACAGACACACTGGACACTACAGTACATTAACACTGCACTGAGAGAGAGAGAGGGGTTAATACAGACACACTGGACACTACAGTACATTAACACTGTACTGAGAGAGAGAGGGGTTAATACAGACACACTGAACACTACAGTACATTAACACT